TGTCAATTAATTACATCGCTTTGACCATAAAATATGTCTACAAATTTATAACGAGTTTGTGGAGGAGTATAAACATAATAAAACAGATTATCCGTTTTTAGTCTATTTTTTCTTTAAAAGTGCTCAGATGAGAGGTCAGCCAGTACATGAATAAGGGCTGCATAGCTGCAATAAATACTAATATATAGGTGCCTCTTTTTCTTCCATGAACTACACTGTGAGGATTGGCTTCTGATAATATTAGTACCTTGAGTGTCTTCATCTGTAATGGAAGAACACACAGATGTATATAGACTGTGCACAAGATGTATAATCTACCAACAGCCATAGATCAAATGGCATTATGTCATATGTGAATTGGACTTGGTTCGATGCGCATCATTCATTTCGTTGTTCTTTGGGTTTACAGTATTACAATGGATAGCAAACAGGAGCAAAACGAGAAACAATATAAATTATTTATTGATGGTCCAAATTTACCGTGTGTGATACATTTGTATACCATGAAAAAATTAGCTGCATGGTACATCATCTCAATCAAGTTGGGAGGTGGGGGTGGTGGCGGAGTTGGGAGGTAAGGGTGGTGCTGGGCTATCGGCATCTCAGGTTGGTCAACAGATAAAAGACATAGAAGAAAGAATATATTTAATTTAATTACACATAATGCATCCAGCTTGCATTTTCGTTTAAATTAAAATCCTGCTGGAATCAAAAGCAATACACTGTAGGAACCAAAGAGGCTACCACAAGATGGATTTTGACAACTTACCAGAAAAAATACTATGCACGTTCCCATGTAAAGCAGCATTATATAATAGCCCAGAGAATTAAAACACAATCCACTTAACAAAATCATAATCATCCTGAATAGGAAAGAAAACGAGAAAGAATTACTTCAATGATGAAAACACAAAAATGTTTGTGTTCTCAAGGAAATTACAGCAACTTCAGAACATGATGGAATTTTGACTTCGGAAGAAAACCACTTGTATTATGCTTTAATTTGTTAATAGTGGCACATAAAGATTCTAACTGCATCACTATTAAAGCGAGGTCGTCATCGCCTGTGCATGTGCAGGAATTGAGTCCCAGGTGATGATAACCCAAAGGCTCATGGATAGACACTTGTTTGTGAACAATGACACGCTATGGCCATCTGACGCATGCACAGGTATACACTCTTGTGAGGTTTACTGAAACAAATTGTGTTTTTATGAACTCAAAGTATCACATTAGCGTTCTCTTATAGCAGGTGCAGAAAAAAACACATTATCATTAAAAACCACCAACTCCCAATCAGTTTTGCTTGCAACACCAGAATTTCGACAATCTCAATAGTCATAACAATTTGTATCTATATGTATATGAGGTTATTACGAAGATACCTCAAAGTATGCACGGAGACAGTACAGTGGGAGTATCAATCGTTGTGCAGCAGAGGTCGATGCGACGGCGTACTGTCCGAGTGCATACTTTGAGGTATCTTCATAATAACCTTATTATTAACATCTTTTCCTTCCTAGGATACATCATGGGAATGCCGAAATCCAAAAAGTTTAGAACAGAATCGGCAAACTTCTTTGTGTGGAGTCCGGTCAAACGCTGGTGGCAGCCATGTTTGTTTTTATTATTAGAGGACGCTTACGCGCATAATCATTCACTCCATATTTGGAATTGTATTTCCTTATATGGTAGGATGAAAATACCCTGTAAAATACCGCAAAATTACGGCACGCTGTAACTTATGGCGTTACGGTGACAGATGTATGATAATAGATGAATAATTTGCTTGAATGGTACCCCAAACTACTGCTCATGTGTATATATACCTCTGTATATATACCTCTGTATATATACCTCAAGTATATACTGGTAGCAATGGTACACTCACTGCTCAGACTAATTTGAATTTAAAAGTTGATGAATTTATTCAACAAATGATCTATACTAAAAAAGTTGAATACTTTCTTTGCCTGTACATTACCCCACATATTTATAACCACAGAAAGCCACCAAATCCAGCGTCCTCAGTTGAGTATTCAAATTCATGATATATAAAGACAAGACAATAATAGCCAATTCTATTACCAACCATATCAAACCGGAACTAGCTTGCATTCCTAACTGCTCAGGGTCAAACCTGGCAAATGCAAAAAAAAACACCATAATGCGTAAAAGAGCAATAGCTCACTAATAGACATGTCAAACCTATCAATCACTAGGTTTTGTAGCCGTGGGTATTTTTGAGAAAATAGTGATAATCCGATATTTATTGTTATGCAAGACAAGTTAAATCACACTTACACCAAGAATCAAGTAAAGTTAAATATTACATATTTTTGTTATGTTAATGCATGACAATAAGGGCAACAGGATAAGGGTTAAGGTATTAACAGCATTCAGCACCATTGACAGCAATACAGCATTACTAACTCTGTACGTTGTATTATACAGGGAGCAGTGAGACTTACCTATTTTGTGTGCCAAGAACATATCCGGCAACTAAAAGGTACGTAACAAAGGCCATAACTGGAATATATAAATCTGGAGCATTTATTTCATATCGAGGGGCTACTGGTTCGTCTTGATTATTGTAATGAATCGACCAATTCTGTGAAAAATAAGCGAAGATAATTACTTCCCAAATAGTTTTAGGTTTTGCAAAAGGTCACTAAGCATTACGCTCAATATGATAAAGAATGAGGTCAAGTGACAAACACAAGAAATACTTACCGTGTGAGTAAATGGGAATGACAACAATGCCAATTTTTTACCAACATATGCTGTGTCTACTGCAAAATAATATTTTAACTTGCTCACAGAGATGAATCTGTCAACCTGCAGGAAAAATAAATAACTAAGTTAATTCACAAACTCCATAAATTGTGTGCTTTCAAAATCACTCGACAAGTTCAAGTCTTCTTTTCACTACCAATAACAAGTATATCTGAATATCAATTGTCACCTTGTTATAATGAGCAACTTTATAATGAATTTTGTGATATAATGTACGTCTCCCGCTCTTAACAAACCCAATGTAATATGTGACTCATTATAATGAAACCTTCACTATAACAAACTAATTGTACGTCACACCTGAAGAATATGTTATGAGGTTACAATTTACCTGAATATTCTGGTTATATGAAATACTTTTCATGGTATCAAGTGCACACAAGATATTTATCCTTACGTGCACCACGGATTATTTATGGAATTTTAAATCTTAAACATCTTACTCAGTGTTCTCCACAAGGGGTTTTAGGCGGGCGGCCCGCCCATCAAGTTTTACGGCCGCCCAGTAACTCTCAACACCCGCCCACCAACGTACATCCAGCTGAAATTATTTGTAAAAAGCTTGCATTGTTCTTCCCAAGCCTAAACAAAAGAGTAGTTGCCCAACCCTTTATTTTTCTATTGTTTCAAGAGTCCAAACATAAACATGTCCATTGGAAGTCTGCAAGCAGTTATCAAGTGTATTCATGGCAATGTGT